GTAGAACAGTGCTCTCTGAAACATAGAAAAAAACTGTCCAGGAAAGGCTTGAGGAACAGGACAAAGAGCTCAAAGCCATAACTGAGCCTCCAAGCTCTGCAGATTCCAACCTGCTTGAACATCCACAAGATGTACCATAGCAAGCCCAACCCATGAAGGCCCACCTCGCAACTCAAAGGATGCCAACATGCCAGACACCATAGAGAGGTCCCATATCCATGTCCTGATGATTCTGAGCTGTTTGGGGCTGCACAAAGGGGACTTGCATAATATTAGGCAGGTGGTTTTGATGCTGTGGTTGGTTGGTATCATGGAGGTTAATGATCGCGGCACCTACCTGCTTGATAAAGACAGAAAAAGCCATTTTATTATTTTGGCTTTTTTTCTTCAGATGTGCATTTATAAAAGCATACAGGATTGTACTGAGGAAATAAACAACAGTCAAGAATTGTTCAGCCCTTTGCAGGAATGACATACAGACATAATTGCCATATTAAGTATTAATTGTGTTACTGGTACCAGAGTATGAATGTTTGATCTGGTTGGCAAAGGATATGCAGTATAGTGTGATGATGTGCTATGACTGAGCGATATGACTGGATTTACTGATCAGCTTAACTCTACTCATACCGGTGAAACAAAACTCTGAGATCTCCTCCACCTGCATTCTGTTGGACCGAGAACATGCGTCAGTTTTGTATTCCTGCTCTGAAAAGACACATCCCTGCATCTTTATTTCAGTGAAAGCACATTTTCTTTAAAGTCGCAGAGGATGACTCTCATTCCAAAGGTCCCCTCAAGATACTCCTACAAATAGAAGTATTTTCAATAAACGTTGCTTTCAATTCAATTTCATAGACCAGTAAGTCAATCCCAAGGGCATATTTTGTGTTCTTGTTTTTGTAGCAGAGGGACATAGTTTGTTGGAAATGACAGTTAGTCACGTGGTGTCCGCTGGATGATAGCTCTTGTTTGTTAGTGCGAACCAGCTGCAGCCCCCACCCCGCCCCCCAAGCAAACGCTCCACCGATTTCCTCCACATGCATGTGATGCCATTTAGAGGAGTCGGTCTGTTTCGCATTGCCAGAAGCAGCCACACTTTGTACAAGGAATGCCTCAACACTGTGTATTTGTGGCCACTGTCAACCAGCCACATCACTAGATCGACCTTCCTCCTCTGCTGTAAAGATAAACTGAGCAGTGTGCGAGCGTGTGACCAGAAAAAGGAGCATTTTGTGTGATTAATGTCACTGATGCCCCGTCCTTATGCTGATGAAAGACCCTACAGTAACAAACTGAAAAACATTATTTGCGTGACTTTTTAGAATCTTATGACTGATTATGTAATCGTAGTTGATAACACTGTGATAAATCTGTAGTGACAACATCTGAACCAGTTTAAAAATCTGTGTATAGAGTTCATTATAATCAGGAGAACTGTTGAAATTCTTAGTATCACAGGAAGGTATTGCAGCTGTCCCCTGTGGTTTTAAACTCAATGGTATTTCTCTCAGAAGCTTGAAATGTGATGTGTGACTGGCTTGTGTCTTTGATGTGTTTAGTGCCTTTTCTTTCAAAGTGTCATTCACAGAGTCCCTTTCATTCTAACGTTTGGCTCAGCGCGACCAGCAGGGACATTGCACATACCAAAACAGTCGTCCTGCTTGAGAGACATTCATCTTGACTAACGCTTCTTCTTACTATTGTCGTTCATCATTCATATTTCGCACATTGAATTCCACTTCCTACCTGAACACCTCTTACATTTTGTTCAACGTTCAGTGCGAATAGGCGCCAAACTTTCACCTCTGAGTCTTATGGCATGTTGCAAAATCTATTGTAACAGCTGTAAAAACTGGTTTGAACCGATAACAAGTGGAAACTGTGATTCACATGTCGCTAAACAATGCAGGGTTTTGATAAAAATTTTTGCTTTGGCAGGTTTCCAGCCTCAGTGTGGGTCATCAGATGAGTTTGGCTCGACCTCTTTTTTACCACACTGCTGTTACAGTTTCTCTTGCAGGAGCCGAAACAAAAGCTCCTTATCATCTCGACTATCAGGTGATAGCGACAATTATTTATTATCTGATAGCTCAGAGCCAAAAAAACCCTTGGCCCGAAAGCCTCCCAGATTGTTTTGCATAAACTGTTTGATGATAGCGTTGTGCCAAAGGGATATTGTGACATACTTTTACAAGACAGTTCAAAACTTCACTATCAGTCCTACTACAAGAGACGGTTGCTAATTCACATACCAGCACTGTTGCCAGGAAATAGAGGACTTCCATGGCTGTGCAGAAGTTTATAGGCATTAAAAATAAAGTGATAATGCTTTAAAAAGCTATGGCTGTCTTCTTACAGTGTGCAGCAAACGTTCTATTTGTGCTATCTCAGTGTCTCCTCTTGTAATCCCAGAATAGTCATATCATCCTCTGCAGCAGTCATTGTAGTGATAGATGAGAATCTAAATGCCTAAAGGGCCTAAAAGTTGCGCACAGTACTGCATATCCTGAACATTCTAGACTTTCAGATGCTCCGAAGAGATTTTAAACACACATGCTCGATCACCTTTGTGCACAGGCTTACAGTATTAAATGAGCGTGATGTATTACGTGCAAGAGATCCACATGCAAATTTGCAGAGCACTTGAAGAGACGCGTAAAGCTGCTAAAAGCAAACAGCATAATTCATGACTTGGCTGACAGGTTGTTGACATCTTAGTAACTGCCGGTATTGTTTGTTTTCCTTCTGTGTGTGCGACTTGTGAGTTGTGTTTCTCTGGCGGTTTAAGTCGTCTGCAACTCACCTTCTTCCCCACGAGAGCTGTGAGGGTTAAACAGGTACCATAGCAGGAAGACCCTCCTTAAACTGGAGAAACGTTACTGTTTTCAACCCTTAAAAGCATGTTTTTTCATCCTACCAATTAGTTTTCATAAAAATTCTTTGCAGTTGGTGTGAGGCCAGTGAAAAATCTGAACTATCAGCCCTAAATATACAGAAACTTATGTTGTGCTTTACTCAAAAATCCCATACAGGGGTTTATACACCAGATTAAGTAAAAATGCATCAGTAACTTATTGGATCGGTATAACATAAACATTTTATTATTCAGAAGATATTTTTCACGTTATTACGACATACAAACTTATCACGTTCTAGCAGGAAACCGCTTATCTAGTTATCACATGAAACCTTTCACATAATGTGTTCACTTGTTGTTACATCAGATGTTTCATGTTGTAGCAAGATTACTTTTATTGTAATAAGCTCACGTACATGATTTTTGGGTTCTACTTTAATTTCTACTTTATGCTTGGGTTGAGAGGCACGACCAGATTTTGCTGTTACCGAACACGATGGACGGTTTTGAGATAACTCGGGTATCCGTGGAGCCTTTAGTGCCGCAGCTGATCAAGGAAATGATGCCACCTCCAGATAGTCAGACTAATTCTACCATCTGTACTGCTCCATGCTTTTTTAAATCCCTCTTTGGGTATATATATATATCACAGTGTCATCCATTGACGTCAGTAACAGCAGAGTCTCACCATGTTTCAACCCAAACATGAAGTAGAACTTGCAGAGTAGAACTTAGCCGTTCTCTGCACACAGTTTTTTATTATAGAATATAAGTTATCATGTTATAACATGAAAGATTTCACATCTAAACAAGATCAACATTAGGTGTTTATTATAATAGGGTGCGTTTTATGTCATGACAACATGAAAAACATCTTGTTAAGCTTTTCACATTATGTTGAACTCATCAGTTTTTTCCTTTTCTTGGTTGGCAGCAATGCTTTGTATATGTGAGATTTTGTTTCTTCATATTTTATGCAAGGTGCAATTGAAAATTAGCAAAATTACTTAACAGTTTTGTTTTGGACACTTTCTTGCACATAAACTTTTGTCTAATGTCATATATGTAACAGTGAAACCAGGCAACAACCCTCAGTTTGAATATTTTTTATGTGTTTTCCAAACATTTGCAACATAATTTTATATGTAGATACATTGAAGATATTTATTCTGATTGCTATGTAACTGTTTACTTAAACCTTCTCCCCCATAGTTCTGGTCCTCAGATAACTTTCTGGTTAATTGTCAGCTCGTTATTCTTCTGAAAAGCCAAGCAAATAAGCAAACACAAGACATTTTATGATTTCTTTCACAAATATGTATCATGTCTCAGCACAGACTGAGGAAGAGGAATGAGGAGCTCATGCTCTGGGTGGTTCTGGGGTTGATTGATTTTGGGGAATGTGGGACTGTAGTAAAACAAGATGTAGTTAGTCAGTTGCCATGTAGGTGGCTTTGGTGGGCTGCAACAAACAGAAACAAGTAGCGGGAGAAAAATGTGTGGGGTCGAGGAGTTTTGCCTCAAGCAAGACACTAAATTACAGGCAGCTGTTATGTGGTTGACCCTGACCTCTATCATGGGATCATTACATTATGACTTCGTCTTAGTTTCTGTCCTTTCTGTAAGTCATCTCAGTTCATCGGCGAGGCCAGATAACAGCGCAGAGTGCAGTAAAAGGCGTCCAGTTTCTGCTGCAGCAGGTTGTGTGGCTGTAGTTACCCTGCTGCTGCTGCTGCTGCCAGCCAAACTCATAAACACTGACCTTTAATACAGTCGCCCAGAGGGGTGGCAGAGGAGGAGGGCAGTGGATGAGAGACAAAAAGGAAGAGAAAGAGACAGACAGAGACGATTGTGGAATGCGGCAGATAGACCAGAAAGTGAATGGATCAAAGAAAAAAAAAGGGACAAGAAAAAAAAAAAGGCGAGACTAGACAGAGAACGAGAGAGAGAGAGGGAGGAGGAGTGATTAGTGTGTGAGCCTGAGCCCTGATTGGTGGAGCAGCTTGTATGTGCGCCGGGATCTGTTTGTGTGTGCAGTGGGCGGGGGGATTAGGCTTGCGTCACGTGGTCGCTTTAGCTTCTTTTCCTCACAAACACACACACGCCTCGTCTCACATACACACTCACAGCTGTTGATACTCCTCTCTCTCTCTCTCTCTGATGAACGCCGGAGCAGCCGAGCAGCAGGAGTCTGCGAGGATCCGCTGTCTGCTGGCAGCTCCAACAAATAGCACATTTATGGGAAACCCGGAGAGACAAGTGGACCGACTGGTTTTGTGATTCGCCGCCCGGCTCTCACTTTTTTCTTTTTCTTGTCACTCGTATCCCGCTCTTTCTTTCTTTCTGTCTTTTCTCTGCCGGCTTCTTCTCTGCTGGGACTCACTGTTGGAATTTTGAGCGCAGACAGCGAGCAGCAGCAGCAGCAGTGAAAAACAGAGACATGTGTTTGGCCTCAGCCGCCTGCTACTACTGCCTGTTCTCTCCCATTCACTGACCAAAGAGGAAACACAAGGTTGGTTGGGCTTGGGTTTTTATATTTATACGCTGGTTTCTTGTGTGACTTCTCCTGGCTGGACATTTGAAATCATATCCCACTGGAATATACTTATTTATAATGATTTGTGGTTTCATGGAACCACTTGCTTTCATTCATTTCTAGACAGTTTCAACTTTTGTTTTGTTTTTTGTGCTCCCAAAAGCTGAATGAGCACAAATCCCTAAAACAAATCAGTTTTCGGGGGAATTCCATGTTAGTATGGCAGACTGGGCGCACACACAGTCACACACTTCTGAACTGTAAACACGCTTGGCAGCAATAGTGCAGCGAGTGTGAGCACCAGAGAAGATTAGCTCTAGTTATTAACTCGTGGAGGCTGTGCATGAAGGAAGACACCGCTGAGTGTTTCACAGCCAATGCAGCTACAAGAATCTGCACATTTAGCTAAAATGTATCAAAAAGTTAGAAGAAATCCTCAAAAAAAAAAAAAAGAAAAATGAGTACGTTTTTTTTGCAGCTTGCAACCTACATGCACTTTTGACTCCGACCATGCAGTAAATCAATAGAAACGCTGACTGCTGGCACGTTGGCGGGCTCCAGAAGAGCTTTCCTCATCTCATAGTAAAGCTGCTGGAGGATCATGTAAGCTGCTGAGCGTTTGGCTCGCACACTCTCCTTTAGTTTCACTGCTAGATCTGTCATGCAGGCGTGTTTAGACTCGGAACACACCTACTCCTGTGTTTGTGTGCGCAGCAACACTCCAGTTTACTGTCTGCGTGCATGTGTGCTCGCTCTGCCTTTTTTTTTTTTTGTTTTGTTTTTACAGCATGCGTGGATATAATTAGAGCTGCACAGATTCTTTCCTGGTATTGTTGCCACTGGGGTTGTAACACAACCCAAAAGGCAGTTTGTCTATTTATAGGGGTGGCAGAGACGTGGGCAGGCCGGCTTTGAAGCAAGATATAGATATGAGGAGTGTGTGAGCGGAGTGGGTGGGGTCGGTGGGCGTCTTGTTTGGGTAGTTTGGTTACTATTTACAATATGTGTGCACTGCATGTGATACCAGCAGTGATGGGACTTTGTGACTTTTTTTTTTAAATTGAGTTTGCATATTCCACGTATCGTAAGGTGAAGAGAGATAAAGTCAGAGAGAAAACAATGGACAGGGCTGGAGAGAAATGTAGCGTGTCAGAGCTACAGCACCAGACAACGAGATGAAGCAGCAGATACACGAGTAGATGTAGCTTTACAGATTAGCTGGCTGTCACCAGATGAGGATGGAGAGTTGTGTTTTGTCTCAGCCACTGGCTCTTATCCGGCTCTGCAGCTCCAAATGTCAGAGGAACACTGTGGCATTATGGGTGAGCACCGTGTCTTAGAGATGTGCAGTAAGCTTCCGTTCAAGAGAACGAAGAGGGGGGAACTAATTCTATCAAATAAATGTAAAAGAGCACGAAGGACGGTTGTGCATCCGGATAGCTTTACAGGTTTCATGAGAGTTTATTTTTTTAATTAGTTTTGCATTCACACGTGTCCTCACTTGTCTGTTTTACGCCTGCAGCAAACATGTTCATTTGACATCATTTTTCTGTTGCATCAGGCCATAAACGCAAGACAAAGACTATTAATACAGAAATATGTCTACTTTTTCTTTTTTTTGTAGACTGTAGAACCAAATTAATCAGTTGAGTAATCGATTAGAAAATAAATCTGCTGCTATGTTGATAATTGTGTTTTGTTTATCATACAAAAATCCAAAATATTACACAGTTCCTGCTTTTTATTGGAAATAATTATCTGCCTTTGTTTGTCTTTCATTGTAAATTGAATATGTGCACGGTTTGGACTATTGATTTGTCATTTTTGGACATTTTATAGATCAATTAATTGAGAAAGTAGAAGCCAGATTAAACAGAACTAAAAGTAATTGTTAGTTGTACTCATTGTAGAATTTTTCTTTTATTTTTTTTTGTTAGTTTTGCTTAAACTCACATATAATTCACTGATTTTTGTGGCTCTGAATTTCTTTACGATCACTATATGCTATTAAATAACCCTGCAGAGTCTTTGATCGCTCCTTACTTCTCACGCAGGAACAACCTATTTTTAGCGTTTTGTTAAGGCCAGGCTAAACAGCGGCTACAGGTCCTCGGCTCACCCCATTCATCCCGTAACTACTGGTAACCAAAAACACGTTGGGTAGTCTCTGGTTTATGGCAGTGATTGGTTTTTATGGCGCTCTTTTATCAACTGTTTATAGATGTGAAAGTTTTCACGGGCAGCTTCCCCGCAGACGAAGACAGCTTGTGTCGGCTGGAGCGGCTAATCATGGGTGAGGGAGGGAGGGTGAGTAAAGGTCACGGGGTGAGAGGTTGTGGTCACCTTGCCTGCGGCCGCCGTCGCAGTCTAGCGCCCTTCGGTAACACAGTTGTTGAGCCTAAATCAATTAGAATGCAGCAGTGTGACGCTAAACTCAACTCCGTCTAAACTCAGCATCCAAAGCATGAAATCTGTTTTATAAAGGTTGATGCTGTAAATATGAGGATCAGATTTCAGATTAATTGGGCGCTCGCTCTCTCAAATTCACGCATACAACCACTCAGAGCTCCCTCCCCACCCTCGCCCCCCTCAAACCGTCAAACCGTCGATCCCTCTGGATGTGACCAGACTGAGATGGTTCGGGATGAGGACAATGATCTATTGACAGAGACAGAGGGAGCTGGAGGGGCGGGGGGTGAGGAGAGGGGGGTTGGAAGTTCATGCTGGGGGCTGCTGGAGTTGTGACAGAGCAGGGATGGATGGTGTACTGAGGTATGTGACTGGGGAGGGGGACTTTATTTTGGTGAAGCTTCAGCTGTTGCATTCAGCCGTGCAGAATTCCACTCATTCAGCAAAGTTTGGGCTCCAGGCTCTACTGTCAGCTACACCTTCTTAAAGTTTTTTTTACAATTTTTTTTGCGCTGGATCATTTTCTGATCGCCAGCAAGAAATACTGTAAACTTAAGTATAGTATTAGTTGTACTGTGCAGATGTTGTCCAGTAAAACAAATGAGTCATCACGTTCCTTTTTTTAAAAACCTGCTATACTTTATTTTTTATCATGAGGGCTGCAACGAATTATTATTTTCATTGTTGATTGTTATCGCCATTAATCAATTGGTTGTTTTATGTATAAAATGTCAGAAAATAGTGAAAAATGTCCCCATCAGTGTTTCCCAGTGTATCCACAACTCAAAAATATTCACTGTCCACTCATAAAGGTGGAAAGAAACCAGAAAATATTCACTTTTAAGACTCTGGAGTCAATTTAGACCTTTTTTTTGATTGCCAAAATAGTTCACGATTGATTTAATAGATGACGGCTAATCGATTAATCGTAGCCGTTGTCTCAGATCTCACTGTCTTCTCCACTCTGTCCCGTGTTCAGCTGCTCAGTAAGCAGAACTGTGCTGACAGGAGGATGAATTCAATATCAGGTTACATAACTGTGCACTGCCCAGCTGCCTTCAATTAAAGAGGGTTTTTTTTTTAGGCGGCTTTTGTTCGTTTCCATAGTATAAATCAAAGTTTTAGCATCAGGTAGAGAGTGAGTGGTGCTCCCCATGGATCTTCAGGAGGAAATATTAGTTGTTTAAAAAGATATCTCCACTGTACAACAATGTTTAAAAAATGTTTTTTAAAGGTTTTTAATGTATGTCTTGTGGCTTGTCACTTGTAAAAAGGCGGAGATCAACTGCCAAAAAGGTTTGCAGTTGGGTTGTTGGTTGAAATTCAGTGTTAATGAGTAGATTGGGCATTTATCACCCTTGAAGAAGATATTGAACCGTCTGCAGAGGAAACAAATCCACCAGTTGAGATATTGTCATGGATTGAATAAATGCCATTAGATGCACCACAAAATGAGCATTAAAAAGGGAATATATTTGATTAACCGTTAATACGCCTTTGTGAATTAGCAACGCTGTAAATGTCGAGCCTTGCAAACTTGTGGTCATGACAGAAAAACAAACTCTGTACAGAAGAACACATATTCAACTGCCTGGGAATGTGTCCTTTAGCTTTGTTTTGTCTTGACTCTACACTCGGAGCTGCGTATCACTCCACTAATCTCAACCCTCTTTTTAAGTGGCATTTGACCTGAATGAGTAGCTTAGCTGCATGTGTCGGACCGAGTCGCCTCCCCAGCCCCTCTGATTCCCACCGTACTGAGCTGACAGCAGGGAAGAGGGTCGCTGCTGGCAGAGTGACCCCTAGATTTTTGATCCCCCCGCTGTCAGATGACCACTGGGCTTTTGAAGAGGGAAAGCAGCGGGGCGCCTTTTTTCTTAAACTCCTTCTTGCTCTCTCGCTCTCATTCCTCTACCGTCCAAGCCAAAGCACCATCTGGTAGCGATCCTATAAGCCCCGCCTCTTCCTAATACACCATCAGCTTATCCATCGGCGCTACAACAGCAGCTACGTATGCCACACTGGCTCCTGGAGGATTCTGACTTCCTGTCCGAGGTGTATTAGATCTCATGTGTTTGTCTGTTTGGCCTTGATTGGCTGTAACTCTTGGCATGACAACAAAGTATGGAGAAGGTCAGTCATTTTCTTTGCTTTTACTGTAGCAAATCCTGTATCCTGCAGAACGCTTGTTGTCCTGCCAGGTGACCTGAGAATGAGCAGTGGGAGTAAACCAGCTCACCGGTCAAGGTCTGGATGTTCAAACAAAACTCCTCGTACGCTTTGTTTGGTGGGCTGTCAGTGTGACCTGGCTAATGCATACATGCACTCGTGACTCAACATGTGGATGGAACAAGAGTGTGTTGTCAGCACAGTGCCTCTATTGACATCAAAAACCTCTCTCAGGTTCACCAATAACAGGGTCGCGTTTTTCCTGTTTGATGAACACACAGTATGACTCCATATGTTTCGTCTCATGATGATAGACCACTAGCTCTATTGTATTTGTCAGTACATTCGACGTACTTGTACCAGGTGTTTTCCATTCGTTTTGACAATATTATGTCACTTTTACTAACTATTTCTGGTAACTTCTTACATGGAAAAGTCATTTTTGTTAAAAATATGACAACAGTAGTAAAATAATTTTGTAAATCCTGGAAGCAAAAATATGTTTGAAATCACTGAAGACTTTGTATGGTACTTGTTTAAGTAGCATGAGAATGAAATTTGTGAAATATAGATTGGAAAACATGGCATTGTTCCGCTTTTTAAAGATTCAACATTTCATTGTCATTTCACTGTGCACCTGCATACACAAAAAAAACGCCCGAGCATAATATGTCAAAGGGCGATAAAAAGTTTCACGGTATATGCTTGCTTTGTGTCTTTTCCATGAAAACCTACTTTGCATCCTAATGACTGAATTATTTGTGCAGCACATCCTCATACATCTTTAGTTTGAATCCTATTATGTGCAGTTTTGTTCACCACGCCCACATTCAAGTCCTACGAGAAACTGTAAAATATCCAAGCACATGTGGTTTTTATGGTATTAAACTTCCCCCGCTTGCCTCTTAAAAGACATGATGATATATCTTCTAACATGTGCATCTCTGTGCTCCTCAGGTGAGAGTCGGAGCAGCAGCCATAGAGCAGACGAGTTGAGGTGAAGCAGCATGAGTGCGGACAGCCATCAGGGGGTGGTGACCACTCCTCCCCCGCCCAGCGGGGGGACCAAGGAACGATACTTCGACCGGGTCAACGTCAACGATCCGGAGTACATCAGAGCCAGAAACATGTCGCCTGACCTCCGGCAGGACTTCAACGTTCTGGAGCAGAAGAAACGTGTCACGCAGATACTACAGAGCCCTGTGAGTATAAGAGGGAAAGGGGGAATATTCAGTGTGCCATCCAGGGAGTATTCACTTGCATACAAAGTTCACCCATCCATTATCTATACACGCTTAACTAGGGTCGCGGGGGGGCTGGAGCCTATCCCAGCTGACTTAAGGTGAAGGCAGGGGACACCCTGGACAGGTCACCAGTCTATCACAGGGCTACACTTAGAGACAGACAACCAAGCACACTCACATTCACACCTACGGACAATTTAGAATCACCAATTAACCGCAACATGTTTTTGGACTGTGTGGGAGGAAGCCGGAGAACCCGGAGAGAACCCACGCTGCACAGGGAGAACATGCAAACTCCACACAGAAAGACGTGAATCGGCGACCTTCTTGCTGCGAGGCAACGGTGGTAACCACCGCTCCACCTTGCAGCCCGCATACAAAGTTGGAAACCTTCAATTCTTTGAACCTGAAGCAGTTTCGGAGCCATTATTTTTCCCCCCGGTCACATTTTTCGGTGCAATAGAAAGTCCTGCAGCTCAGTGGAAACAGTGCAACCCTGACTAGAAGTAGACAGAACTCAAAAAATGTCTTTTGTGCAGTGTAAGAAAGTTATATTGCAATAAATCATAGCAATCAAGCAAACAACTTTTAAAAAGCTGGAATCATCAAGTGCGTTACTTTCCCAAGTGCCTACGGGTGTTACTAATAGTGGAAAAATTGTGAATACATATTTTACTACTTACATTTATAATTTGTTTCCATACTTGTCTCCTACTGGCTCTGTGTTGAGCCCAGTTCAGCTGAAAAGTCCCTGAATTCTTGCGAACTCCCTGTTGGTTGCTGCTGAGTCACGAATGGTTTCTTAGTTCTGTTTAATGCTGCAGAATTTTTTGTTTTTCACAGAATCTTGTTTACTATTCACTGTAGAATCGACCCTGTTTTAGGTGGAATCTTCAGAACATTTCAATGAGCTATCCCAGTATTAAGCTTAGATTTAGTTAGTTGTCTCCAAAAGAAGAACTGGAAGCCACACATAATTCATTTTACAAGTGTCTGAGTCGAAAATCTACTTCAGTTTTCACTGTTTCTGGCTCTCATAAACTCTGTAATTTTGACATTTTTTTTTAAAGGTAGCATGATTTCTAAGCCCACCGATGGGATTTTTTTTACTGAAGACATCCCAATTTCAGAGTTTGCATAGTGTTGATAATTACTTGTACAGAACAAAACCTGCAAGTGTAGGCTGAAAACCTGCTGTGTGACTAATGAAGAGAACAGTGGTAATGGTGTCATCCGAAGCCTCTTTTTATTCCCAGTGGTTCCAAACTGTGTGGAAATGGGTCTTCTGTACAACTCCAGATGCATATTTTATACGCAAGTACTACACGTGTACAGGATCGTAGAAGTGGAGGAAGGTGTAGACCGCAGGATGAGCAGTCGAGTCACCGCTACAGTGGGAAGGACGCGTTTGAATACCCATGTTTGCATTGCTGCTCTTTGGGGGCTCCAGATTCCTTAAGTGAGCTGGTTGCTTGTCTGTAGGTATGAACATGAGAGTGAAAGTTCCCATATGTCTGGATTCCTGTAGCCCCCTGATAGACTGGCTACATGTCCGGTTTAAATCCCAACTGTTTCTCAGTGCATGCTGCGATAGGCTGCGATCAAGATAAACAGTTTTATTAAAAAGATGGATAAATGGAAAGCTGTTTGTCTATTTTTGTGCCAAAAAAAAAAGAAGTGATTACTCTGATTCAAGCCACAGTTGAGTTACCAAGATAACAAAATACTTAATGGAGAACTTGCTGTAAGCCGAGAACTTTTCACCTCGCTGACTAGTAGTTTGAGCAATCAGTTCCCCCTTTTCTTTTTCTGTCAGTTATTATTCCCTAATCGAGTGATTTCTAAAGAAGTTACACCAGCGAGTACATCACATGTTCTCGTGTTGACATTGGGCCACTGACCACAGATTCACAGCAGTCAGCAGCCCGCTAAAACCCTAATATATCCACCAGCTACCACACCCTCGCTCAGGCTTACTGTTGAAGCTCTCTAAGTGCCCTCTGGGCTGGCAGCACTCATGGTAGGTCAGGTTTTGTTGAAGTCAACAACTTCATGAGCAGAGGGCACATTTCAGCCTGCACAAGTAATGTTGTTTGATTTTCTTTCCCCTGGAGGTCTGGATTCTGAAGATTTACTGTTGCTCGACCAGCCAAGTGCTGGATGCACAGTTAGAGGTGTGAGCCCTTTGGCGATGGCAGGTATTTGTTATTGAGCTGCTCATAGTACTGTTAAGTATTTGGATATCGTATCTTTGCTGGAGGTATATTATCGACTGCAGCCGGTGCCAGAGTCAGGATGAAGTGCAGAGTTTGTGAATATTACAGGGAGCAACTCGAAAGGCTCACAGCTCACTTCAGGGTCACAGAGAAGGACAATGTACCCCATATTTTTCAATGTCTATTGAATATTTTCTTCGAATCTCGATTATTGTGCCACCTCTTTGTTCAGATTGCAGACAAATCAGATGTATTTCTCGAGTCCGATCTCAAGATCAGACTGTCCACACTGTTATTTCCAAGCGAACAGATTGGATTAGTGTGTCTAGACATCACCAACCTACCCAACGGCTTTCTGACATCAAGATATCTTTTGATAAATTGCCTTGTTCTGGTAGGTTCCTTCCAGCTTTGTCTGTCCAGAATCCTCATTCCCAAAGTGACGGCAGACATTTTATTTTGGCATCTGTCCACAGACTGTTTTTAGTAGCAGCGTGGATTCTGCCTCAAGACTTCCATCACTCTGGATTCATCACATCGCTATTGTGTTGTGTTGCAAGTGATGCTTGAATTGCATTTCAATCCACCTCTGAATGTGGGTAAGGTCCAATTTTGAAAAAGAAAAAAGGCATCTCATGTGGATTTCTTGCTGTCTAGACTTTCTAAAATGAGTCTGGATACAATTAAGATATTCTAAGAAGAACAGATTTGGGTTTGCAGTCCGAACAAGGCCTAAGACTCCAAAATTAGCATTTGCAGCCCTGCCCAGAGCTTGACTCCTAACTCTGGTAGCAAAATCCCAATAATAGTCAAAGACAAGCTCACAGGCTCATGAAATAGTGTCGTCCTATCTTGCTATTGCGCCCTTTGGACAGTTGCGTAACCTCGTGTGGAGATTTTACAATCCTTCAGCCTACGCGTTTAGAATATTTGTTCTGCACTGTTGACTTAAGGCTGGTCTCTCACTGAAGTGCTGCTCACTGTTTACAATGGGATGGAGGTGGAAGGTGTGTGTGTCTGTGTGCATTTGTGCTTTGAATTACTTTGAAGTGACAAATACACTGTGGCAGTTCTAGAGTCAGCGGGGACAGATTTATGGTAAAGCTAAAGTCAGGTAAAGGATAAGAATGGGCATTGCAGAGGCAGCGCATGTTATGAACAAATCCACCTCACAAGTACAGTAACACAAGCCTGGGAGTTTGTATGTGTGTGTGTGTGTGTGTGTGTGTGTGTGATTGATATTGGGTAGTAGCTGCTTGGTGGTTTGGCCCGTTGCTTTTTTAAGCTTCAAATGTGATCCACATTCTGCACATGCCCGGTGTGGTTTTCTTGGCATGCGGTGCTTTGTGCCAGATGTCTGGAAGGGCAGGAACATGGTGCTGCTGATGCAGGGTTCCACTTGATACTTTGTCGGTGTCTGTGAATGTGTGACTGAATCAGACCTCAACTACAGTCATGGGCGAGCAAACGAGAGAGTACATTTAGGGCCTCCAAGCTACAGTTGGCTGCAGGACGCTCTGAGGACAGTATTGAGCGCCCGTGACCGACCATCGCTGGTATTTTTGGTGCATCTGGCACAGTCGGTTCCAGTCTGTCCTCGTCGGCAGCGATTCAGCCTGTTGATATGATGGCAGAGGCAGTCGGACGGAGGGGGGATGGCAGACTTGTGAACTCTGCAAATCATTGATTTCCTGAGCGTAGTGACACCACTAAACTTTACAGTGTTACATAGAACACATCTACATTTGTACTATCAAAATCCAATCCTAAATGTGTTCCACACCACTCCGACACCAATTTAAATGCTACTTTGTTTTTCTGTCATTTTCTGATGTTTTTCTTGTAGCACATGCTACTGATCAACTTCAAACTTAATCTTTATTAGGTGATTATCTGTCAGTGTTGTGTTTACAGCTCATTCTCCCGCCCACAAGTAGCTACAAATCTATTATAATATGCTTTAATTATCATTTTTGCCTTTTATTTTTCTCCTTTACACGAAATGCCTTTTGGTGTTGACTTACAAACGCTGCTCACCACTAATAACTGTTATTTCACCGGCTGGACGTCACCCACCACCATTATTTACAGTTGCATCACACTGTGTTTGCGTGTCTGCTTGTCGCTTTGCATATCTGTTGCGCTGGTAGTTGTGGAATGCTGCGGATATCATTCCCCCGCTTGATGTGGTTTTGATCGCGAGCCAGACAGCTCTCAGTCAGCAGTGACAGGTGGCTCCCTGTGGCTTGCATAGTATTTCCAGCTCTTACATAAAGACGGCCGGCCCCTCAGCGCTGCTTTAGTCACATACAGCTACAACAACAATAACAAGCGTGTGACACCAGCCGGGCATTGTCTCCGTTTCTTTCTCCGTCTTTCTCAGTTTGCGCCGCTTTCCTCATATTCAGCTACAACAACAATAACACATGTCACCAGCTGGATCTCCCTCCCTTCCTCTCCCGCTTTTCTTCCTCCCTTCTTCCCATCGCTCTTTCTCTTTTCTCTATTTGTTTTCATTCCAGTGTTATTGGTCTAGCGGCGGCTCCAGATTACACGTTTCTATTGCTCAGATGGCAGGTTGTATTTAAAGCCGGACCGATATAGAACAGGCGGGACTGAATCAACTCAGCTGACTTCATCCACTCCACTCATTCACGCAGCTGTGTTTACCTTTAAAAGTCAAGTGCCACAGCTAAACCTTGAGCTATTGCTTATTTTTTATCCACCAAGTTATCTGATTTG